TCCTGCTGGTATTTTTGTCATTCCATAGAACCTGTTACACGATTTGTTCCAAGGATGCTGAATTGCCAAGATCCAGGTTTTCCAGACAGCTTCTGAACATAGATGCACTACAGAGGAAGTCTCTTACTTTGCTACAGCCCGATGTCTTCCACGCTGGGTGATGGTCCAGGAAGAAATGTTAAGCAACATCTGCCCTGTGGGCAGACATACACGCAGGGGGTTTTGTGAACCAAATAGTCAACATCAAACCAACAACTGGTCAAGACTGGATGCTCAGCCAAATCCTATCACCACCTATCAAAAAGCAATCAAATGTAGCTATTTTGCTATGAAGAAGTGATTGCCATGCTGACTAATAAACTAACTGCTTACCTGTTTGGTTCAGCACATACAAAATCACAGGAAAAAGAAATTTGAAGAAATCAAATTAAAAATGAGGACCCCAGAAAAAAAAGACGACTCACTATCACCTGGCCTGTCCATCTTGCCCCTAGTTTTTGGTCCTCTGAAGCAACTTTCAGACCCATTTGGAAGAGTAAAAATCTTCAGAGATTGTGGCATTCTCTGTAGGTTTGGGGGGTAAGGGGATGGGTGGAGATCAGCAGCTAAAGAAGAAAACCAATGCTCCCGTGAGCAGAAAGGCAGAATTGGGCAGAAAAACCCTCTGCAGTACTGCGGCCTGAGGTTATTTGGGGGGGATGATAAAGTAGGGGACAAAGGCATACATCACAGAAAGACAGGCTTCATTATTTCCACGGCTTGTGGAACAGCTCATTTTTAATTGCTATACCAGAGCAATTTGTCCAGAGACTTCTAGTCTATGGCAATTAAGAAAAAATGCACATCTTGGCGCTTTTAATCAATTAACATTGCTTCATAAGGCAGAACTATTTCAGCCATCTTCAGGATAACACCACTGCTTTTCATCAATTGTTTAAAACCACTGAACCAGGAAGCTGGGGTTCAGAAGAGGAAGGCAGTACACGTTCACTGCTTGGTATCAGTTACTGCATACTGCTGCCAACCTTCTGTGTGGATAAAGCCTCTGCCCATTACATTTCTGTGAGGCACATATTCCTTTTTGTTTTAAAAGTCTGGAAAGATGGATCTGATCAGCTTCCACATGCACAGAAAATGAATTACAACGTGACTGGTATAATTAACACTAAAGAACAAGCTGCACAAATAAACTGAAGTGCCACATTATCACAAAGGCTAAGAAATTAATATTCAATATGCATCAAAGATTTTATTTGCATTAACTGAAGACTCAAATATTAAAATAAGTCTACATTAAATTACAATATTAAATATGTTTTAAATACAATAAACTAAACATGTTTAGTTTCTAAACACAAAGGGAACAAAAATAATTCAGAAGAATGCAATACAATTAATGACACCACATGACAGAATAAGGACTTTAATATGTAAATCCATGAGATGTCAACTCTTAGCAATGTTTACTTTAAGAAGAGGTGGCGGCCTTTTAATTGATGCACAAACCCCGTGTTACATAAATGTAGTAAGGTATCTCTCAAGAAAATATTGCTAAATTCTGATTTATGCCATGATCAAAACTCCTTTGGTAGCTCTTTTTCAGAATGAAACACACCAGTATGCAAATCTGGAAAAATAAACAAAGTCTTGTAAGTATTACCACAAAAGGTGTCTTCCTTAGAGTTACAATTATCGAACAGATCTACAGTGTCTTTCATTCTTTAATGCAAATCAACTTACATATATACAATATGTAACAAAGTACTCACAAAATCCTTAGTCTTTCAAGACAAAAAACTATGCTTTCACAATATCAAGACCATAGAAGTCTTTTTAAAAAAAAAATGTTTTGTTTTTTAAAGTGGTGCACGCTGTACAGTAGGCTCCCTGTATGTTATTTTCAAGGCAAAACTAAATGTTACAGCAATTACATAAACAGTGATAAACACCTGTTGCCCTAAAATGAGGTAGGGCCTCTTTGACTCAGATCTAATCTTTACCACCCAAGCCAGGAGAAGTAATAATAAAATAATAATCCGTATTTTAGCTAAATAATCCAACAACTCACTACACACATGAACACAGTTGTCCTCTTGGCACTTCAAGGATCTCACTTCAAAATCTGATTTATCCAAACCAGACTGAAGTTTATAATCATTTGAAAGCAAATTAACTGAAGACAAGTTCAAGGGTTTTCATGGTGCATTATTTCAAAAATTCAGCATATTTCAACAACACTGCTTGTACGTTAAGTGTTCATCAATTAAGGTTTTTTAAAAAGTTACCCAAGTTGTCACTGTAGCTGAAGAATGCAGCATATACGGTCTTTATGGATGCAGTTAGGAACACATAAATGAAGAAACCAGGCTTGCGTCTATCACAGAAGTATTTCTCACACAGGTAGTTTTACCTTTCCATCCAACTTCAATGACAGTGTTAAACAAAACTGCAAAACTAAATTTTGAAGAACCCAAAAGAACAAAAGAGTAATTAAAAGAAATAAAAAAATGACGCTAAAAATTTGTAAGGAGTCTTGATAAGGATGATCAATCAACATGTCATTTTGCTTCTCTTCCACAGCAGTGCATGCAGCTGGCTGAACAATATACATCAACCTGAAATCTGCTAAAAGGAAAGTCTGGAACAGCATAGGTATTCAGTGTCCTGAAGATATATGTGGATGATTTTGGTTTTTACTTTTCGGGTTTGCTCTTTATTTTTTTAAAGTAAAAGTATTTCCTCTCCATTATGCAACATAGTGGTACTGATTGGGGTTGTCTTTGTCTCTCTCCATATAGTCTCTGTCAATGAGAGATTCAATCCTCTTTTTCAAGTCTCCAGGCTACAAGAAAAGGTGAGATTAGTAAAAAAGTTAGCAATATAAATGCAAATATATTTTATTTAAAAAAGAAGGACTGCTAACAGCTACATAAGAAAATGCGCCACAGCAAATATCTAAATATAATTTCCTACTGATACTCTGTCTCATTTCTGTTCCCGCACTCATTTTAATACCTTAATCTTTGGATTTGATTCAGACATATGTCACATTTCTTACTCTTACAGACAAGCTGAATGGAAAAATATATTACACATTTTTAGATAATCCTAGGATAGTTTGAAAAACAGAATCAGTTACCTTTACGGGAAATTTCAGTTGATTATACAATTCAGAAACAAGGAGATTATGACCAAGAGTCTTTCTCATCTTCATTATTCGTACAATAGCAGCATCAATCTGATATTGCCTGTCTTGAAATACTCTTTCAGTTGTGCTGACCTGTTCCTCGACCTAAAGAACAATACGGCATCACAAATCATATCACCTTTTATTGCTATTTTTTTATCAATTTTATTTCTGTAGTTAACCTTTCCAATGAAATTAAACTGATGTATTCGTCTTTGGGACAGATGCATGCATTACTACATCCTATGAACTAAGTGATTCTGAAGCATACTGCTAAATTAAAAATCTAATTAAAAATAAAATTCAGGATAATGTAAAGAAAAAAATACTGTATATCTTATTTTAAATCTATTTGATAAATTAAATGACATCCTAAAAACTCACTTCATATTTTTGAGAGAACACGTAACAGTTTGACAGCCTAAATACAGTAGTCTTCTGTATCAAACTGTTCAACTCCAATTTGACTTTTAGGGATTTTAATATCAAAAGGCAAAAGGGAAACAGCTCAATGTTAATTAAAACATGTCACCTTGTGTCGAGAGTCAGGATTCAAGTACAACAAAGACATCACTTCAAAAACAGGGACAACACTGACTTTAATAACTGTCTTATCCGCTAAATAAAGAAGTGACACAGTGACATTTGATTCATGAGTTCAATACAGTACCAACACTTCAGCCATACCACGAAAACTTCTAAGATGGACTGAAACATCTACAAGATCTATCAGTTTAATATATTAGGCATTTAAATTTGAAAGCATAGGAACCTAAGTTGTTTCAATGTCAGCGAGTTTTAAAATCTTTATTGCCTCTGCAAGTCATCCTGTCTACAAAAAAAAAGTATGTTTCCTTTCTCCATATGCAAAAACTACAAGAGGAAATGCAGAGATTCTGTCTCTCCATGTGAGACATGCAGATAAACAGTTAACATAACCAGAATGAATGCAAAAAAATAAATACATACTGTTTCTTTCATTTGGATTTGGTTGATCTTTATTCTAAACAATTTGTGCTTGAAATCACCATTAAAGATGAATTTATCTCCATCTTCTACATCCTTGCCCTTTGGATTTTTAATCAATACTCGTGCTTTTCCACAAGCTAAAGACTGCAAGGTTCTCCTTAATTCACTGTCCTCTGTGAAGAAGTTCAAAGTATGGGAGAAAGCAGAAAAAAACATTAACATGAAGAGTTTATGTGATTAATGTTACTGCTTCTATGTTAATACCTTGTTCCAGCTAGGTTCCAGTCAGGTAACAACTTCCAGCCTTCAAGCTTGGTCTCACATACTTCACAGGAAAGTGCTGAGAGCATGTACAGAATTGTACATGTCAAGAGGATAGACTCGGGCTAATCTCAGTGAGCCTTCTATCCAAAAGTAGTTTTGGAAAATATTTCACATTAACGTGAGCCTGTTTTTATTGCTTTAGTTTTGTTTGGTAGTAACAGGTCTTTAAAAGAAAAAAAAAAAAAATCAGTTCATGAAGAAACTCAAGCCACCCATTTTATGATTTCATCACTATTTTTAACACAAGCCAGAAAATATATAATGAAATGAAAAAAAAAAAAACAAAAACGACAAGTTTAAATTGATAGGAACATGTTTTGTGAGAAGGCAGAGATGACAGCTGTGATATTCACAAACCTCCCTCACAACAGGAAAGTAGTAGAAATGAGTGGATGTGCAAAACTTTATCTAGTAAGATTTAAAGCTAAAAGCATTTGGACAAGTAGATAAAATGAAGTCTAAAACATTCTAATAATTATATTACAAAGTCTTGTACAGCCTCTGCAGTCTCTAGAATACTGTTATTCACAAAATGAAATTATCACCAAACGTGTCAGATCTCCTGAACAGATGTTTAGTCTAAAAATTGAAAGAAAGGTTTTGCAATCTAGTGCTGAAGTGCAGTGTACCTGAGTGAAGGATTAACACTATTATTATTTCTAAAATACTTCTAACTTTCACACAGAGGGACCCTCTTTTTTTTTTTTAAGCTTCCAGCTGTTCTGTGATTACTAAAAAAAAACAACCTTTAAACCAGGTATTTGACTAAACAGGTATTTATGATGTTTCACACTTCCTGGGTGTTTCACCTTCAGTAAATGCAGGTTGTTGAGTTGAGTTTTTGTCCAAACAGAGGATGCTGTTAAAAACACTTGGGATGCTTTTGGAGCTTTGCTTCTGCCCTGCATGCCAAGTTGCAGGTTAGAGTATGCCAAAGAGAAGGAATCTGCAATTACCTATCAATCACTGAAATACAAGTAAAAACGACGTCTCTTAGAGGCTTTCTTGATAATGCCAGGTAAAAACATGGAGTATATTTGGGCAACACATCTCAAAGCAGCATGGTTACCAAAGAGAAGGTAACCTTTCTTTCTCTGAGTGACAGTTTATGCATTTGCTAACTGCAGTTTATGTACCAGGGACAACCTCATCTCTTTAAAAGAGACTGACGATAATTTATTCTAACAGTAACTGGAAACCACAAGTTCCAACTATGGCCAGTTAATGCAGATGATGACAGTGATATCCTAAAGGGCAGAAATCCAGGTGATATTTTTTTTTTTTTTTTTTTTTTTTTTTAGTAATCTGGTAATCGCCCATTGAGAACCCTTCAGTGTTTTGCTCTTCCCTGAACCTGTCTCCTTGAATTCTGTAAACTTCCAGCTTTTACAACATGTTGTTTAGTTTTCACCACCATGTGTTCATTCTGTTTTATGCCCTCTAGCTTTTTTTTTTTATTTGAGTAAGAAAACATATCATTGCTCACCGATTTCTATTTGCCTTTTGATCTATTTAGTTTAGTCCTAGCACACTTAGCTGTTCCTCGTAAAGAAGCTGGCTCATGCCTTCAATCTTTATTCCCATTCTCTGAACTCTTCTCGGCTCTACTATGTTATTTTTAGATGGTGGAGTGAGAAGTTTGATAAACCCTACAGATTTTATAAAACATTTTAGTGTTCTAGCAGCTTCACTCCATTTGAAATTAGATGGAGCCCATCTATCTTGTACAGGTTCCCTCTATTTCAAAGGCTTTCCTACTTGCTGATAAATTTAGGCCCTCTCCCATACGTAATTTTTCAAGCATACATTGGAATTCTGCCTGTCTGACTGGCCCTGCACATGGTGTTTACAACATTTAGAAACAGTTTCTATGGCAACCCTAATGGCCAAGTTTTGCCCTCCAGGATTTCTACCACAACCAACATCATTTGTATCCACGAGCCAGGACCTCTGGTTCCTCCAGGTTGGTCTCTGAGAGTCTGGCCGTCAGCACCTCTGCCCTTCATGGTCAATTCACCAAGCAGCTGCATCACAAATTCAGCTACTTTTTCTAATAATTGAATCTCTGTTCTTTTCCATCTAGTCGGGATACCAGCCCGCAGCAGGGTACCGCTGAGCAAAAGGATCATCCATGTAGTAGGAGACAGGAAGGGCACAGCATGGGACCTATTTCCAAGATCATTTCTGGCTGTAAGAGTTTCCTCTCCTTTAGAAGTAGGGAGACTGCTAGATGGGAATGGTACCTCTCTAAAGCAGCTCCAAATGCCTCTTGTATGTAGAGTCTGGGAAGAAAGAGATTTTATGTCATCCATCCTGGCCCCACGGGAACCCCATGGACCATGAACTGTCCTCATAACCTGCATTCCTACACTATTTCCCCATAGGGGAGAGAAACACAGATGTGGCACTCAGTGTGATGACATAACGTAATACAGATAGCTCCCTACTATCAATCGGTTCTATCCAGCTGCCTTAAAAACAGCCTACTGAAATCCTTTCTCTTGTGCTATAATGGAACGGATTTCCATGCAGCAGGTTTTATCTGTTGCTGTCAGGCAAGTCAGAATGCAAGCTCCAAGGTACAGCAATATAAGATGAGAAAGCAGTATCTGCATCAGGCTTGCATGAACTTATGTTTGTTCCGTAACCACTGTACTCTGACCCCGTGAGCCTCTCTGGACAATCCTGATGCTTATCATTCACACTGGCATGAGTTTTCTTCAGCTCCCTTAGCATTAATGGAGTGGATGACTAAGCAACTTGAAGTACTGATGCTAAGAAGCTGGAGCGCCCGGGCTGTACTGCCTTCTGCAACGCACTGTTCTGAACCACAGGGATTCTTGATATCCCTCTTTTACAGTATTTTAGTAAATATATTTAACAATATTTTAGTACTTGCATGGGTTCAAATACTCTTTCAGCAGTTGCTGTATTGGGTTGATCTTAAGATTCACCATGTGAAGTGCTACTGGGTATGACATGCCGGTTGATGCAGAAATTCCAGAGAGTAAAGAGATGATAGCATTATTCTTTTTAATGCCATTGGCTGTAACTATTTCAAGGAAGTGTGAAATTTTGAGAAAAATCACCCAAGAGCATAAGAACACAGAAAGTAGATACTGCAGATGGTTAAAAAGAAAAATATACTTTTCCCCAGTTTTATTTGTCCTTTCTGCCTTCAGGTTTCAAGTGCAGAGGGAAACAGCTACAAATTATACACCCTACAGGACACTGCTCTTCTTAACAAATCAAACCTATTGTAAATGGGGCACTCCAGCAACAGTAATGGAAAACTTCTGAAAATACTCTCTTGAATCATCCCAAAATGACAGCATTCTACAACAGATCATTTTCAAAATACAATTATTTGAAAACTGTAATGGAACAAAAATAATCTGTACACAAACCAGTCTTTTTCACCACTTGAATTTTAAGAATTGCAATGATAAATTTTGTAAATCTAATAGGTTGTTAATAGTAACGTGTGCTACACAGCTCTTACCATTAATTTTGTGAAGCACCTTTTTTATCTACATTAGGAAGCACCAGCAGTGTGTTTTCCTCATCTCTTTTGGTGTCTATACACTATTGTCTCATAAAGTTTGTCCTAATGATCATGGCAAATTTTTTAAAATTAGGCCTTTACAAACCAAATCATAATTGGCAATGACTTGATGAATAAATTTAAGAATCAAAAAGTATTCTTCCTACCTACACCAGTGACCATTTTAATGTCTTCAAAACTGAATTCATCTCCTTCATTAAACATAAGCAACACTAATGTTTGAAAGAGCGATACTTGAAATTCTTTCTTTCACTAAAAAAAAAATAAATCAAATAATTAGAACTAATATTCAGAGCATTTTCTATTGTATCCCCCAAATATGACAAGTTACAATAGCTATACATTCTTGTTGCTATTTCCAGAAGGAGATGTGCATTTTAGAATGCCCAGCTCACAGAATAATTTGCTTGAATGCAGTATCAAGGAAACAGGATATTTTTAAAACATCTTTCTTTGCTCCTCTAACAGTAGCAATACAGCACACAGAAGCAGCTCATTAGAATGGCCTTGTAATTACTTCACATCATTTACTTCATACTTGACCCAAGTTTAATTTTACAGCGATGAGCAAACTAATACAAACGAAATCTTGGCATTGGATCAAATATGAAAGAAACAAAAGATAATTTTGGTTTACTATGATACAGAGCGCAGTATTATCAGGAGCACAATGTTTCTACAAAGAGGCAGTGGAAAGGAAATAAATTAACTCAAACTCTTCAGACAGCTGTAAGCACTTCTGTCAATTGACAACTACAAACCTATCCATCTTACTGTTACATTAATACCGAAACTTCTAATTCCCTACTCACAATGAGTTAGTAAAAGAATTCAAGTTTTCTTGTCTTTGCTCTGACTCAATTAAGCTGCATTATTAGCAAGGCGAGATATTCCATGAGACAAAACAAAACCACATTAAGAAACAATGCAGTTACTTAAGACCTAAATAATTCAACAAGCTTTTAAATTTTAACCACAGTCATTACATCACTAGCGCACTTCAGTCTCTTTTTGTATCAGTGAAGCATTCTAGAAGCGTCACCAGTATTTCTGTGATCAAAACAATTCCATATTAAAAATAAAAATCTGCATTTTTTTCTTTAATTAATTTCCTGCTTTATTACAACCTTTATTTGAATGAGCAACAATTCCTATCAAACAAATACAAATGTTACCAAAAGATACCACATTGTTGTCTTCCATTAGCTAGGTAGTATTTCAGTTTAATTATAAAAAGCCTACTTCTATACAAAGTAACAGTATTGAATTGTGATTGTTCCTCTGCAAAAATGGTACTACCATCATAAAAAAAATACAGTACATGACTAGGTTCCAAATAATTGACTTAAATTTTATCCCGACAGGCTAAGCATTAAACAAGCTAACTTACTTCCTTAAATTCTGCCTTTAGGACAGCATGCCCTAAAGTGGTCTGCCACTGAAGCTTTCGACCACTGTGTTTTCCCAGGTAAAAGGTTTTAAACACCTCTTGAAGCTTTATCATCTGTATAGCAAAGAGATAACACAGTTTATTAGTTTTATACCAGTGGTGCCAGATGATTTCAGATATGTAATCTTTTTGGTTCTTCTCAACAATGCTGCATAATAAGTGTTTCTGTGTGAAAAACTAAATTCAAAAGCAAAATTCTGCTCTCACATACACCAGTACTACTGTGCACAAAAGAAAGCCTCAATTCAAGTATAGCTTTTAATTTCCCTGTTTCTTTGTTGGTTATTTTTTGCGGGGGGGAGGTGGTGGTGTGTTTGTTGCTTGTTGGTTTTTTTTAGTAATAGAAGTAAAATAACCCCCCCATAAAGGGTTTTAAACCTCTGAAATAAATGCTGTTTTGTCCTGGACTTTTCATCTGACCAAGAAGTCACCAGACAAAAAGCATACATCTCACACCTATACACTGATTATTACCATCTGCTCCCAAGTTCTTCCTTTAGTTTGTCCTATCCTGATTCAAGTCTGATTCCAGTACTTTACACCCTCTTTATTTCCAAGCAAGGGGCTTTTACCCCTCCATTTCCATGACGTGTTGCTCAGGTTGGATCCTTCCAAAGTAGTCTGCTACGGAGAAAAAGATGCCATGGGAGCAAAGGCACAAAAGCTTCCACAGCTTCTGACTTGAATGGGCACGTTGCTACTACCTTTGGGCTCTGAAGTGCTTCCCACGTTTCAGATGAAGCAAGGTATTGCAGGAAACGGGACTCCAATTACGTATTTCCACTTAAATCACTACTGGTGGGAGCTTTGCAAAAATCTCTCAACTTGGAAGGAAATCTTTTTTCAGGCAAATGCCATTTAAATGCAGGTACTAGTTTTGTGAGACACGTTGCAGGGAACAGAGGAAAGATCTTACAGAAAAAAAGAACATGCGGTAATGTAACTATTGGCTAGATCAAAATGCCTGATCACTGTAGTTAAAGATTGACTAAATTGAGGTGTCAGTTTTTAAACTTTTAAGTGCTTGACTGCAATGTTAAATAGGACAGTGATTTTATTTAAGACTATTTTTAGATATTACTATTACTATTAATATTATTATTAAAAAGGTGAAAAAAACATATGGAGTTAACTAATCACCACCAAAAAAAGTGGATTTTATCCACCACATTTTATTTTTTGCAATTTTGGAATCTTTAAAATGAGATAAACCTCTTAAATATCTAGCAGAAAAAAAATTACATGAAGGCATTAGTTCACCCTATGATAGTGATTATGATTCCACTCCATAAAGTGCATTTAGAAGGAGAATTCAAACACTAACCTCTGAATTCAAGTTGACTTCCATAGGTGTGTAAGTTGGCCAATATCCCATAGTTAATATATTTACTGTCAGGTCTATGTTTCCTGGGTCACTTTGGTTCTGCATATACTAAAATACAAGAGACAAAAAAAATCATTCAACTATACTGTTTGCATGCTAAATTAGAAAATATATATAATTAAATTAGAAATGTAAAGTTGGTAGAATAATGAAAAATTTCTACAGGCCACATCCTTGGTTAGACATGCTCTGCCAAGATTTTTAATTTCGTGACTATTTATTGCTCCTGTTCCTAGTTTCAAAACATGGCAAGTGGTTGGAAGTAAAAAGAAACAACATGCCTTGAAACATCCTAGCCCACGGTCTTTACAGGGTATTAAGGTCAAAGGCACTTCAATCACACACAACCAAAGCAAAAGAAAAGCTTCTGATCAGAAGCCAGTGCAAGAACTAGAAGATGAAAAGCATCCTCTGGGACTTCCACATGTCTGTTACACAATACATTTTTTTACCATTTAAGCATAGCATCAGTCAAGCCAGGGTGCAAAGTCTGGGACAGAACAGTCGCTATTTTATTACAGGAGCAAGTGTCCTCGGTCAGACCTCTACCCCAGTATCCTGTCTTCAATAAAGCCCCAAAACAGGTACCCCAGGAGAAATGCAACAACAGGGTGGGCCTATACAGTATTTCCTCCAAGAATTCCCTTGGTCACCAACAGGTTGGAAGCTTTGGGGCTGAGACATATATGGTTTCTGTGCACTTAGCAACCTTCAGGGAGTTTCTCTGGTGTGGGTCATTCACAAAGAATTCATCAGAGCAGCAACAGTTTACAGAATGAAGTGGTATGGACTTTAAAAGATGTCAGACAACTAAATTACTATGTGGTGTTTAGACTGCAATTTACTTAAAAAGGAATCAAAACTGTAAGATAAGATTATCTCTGAATAGATATACAATAATTCAATCCTGTTCTATAAAGAGAACTATAAGTAGACTCTCTTACTATGACCAGGACCTGCTCAAAAGCTGTTTTGTTTGATTTTAGCTTAATCCAAGGTATAACACCATTAAGTGCTTCCCCATCACTACTGACAATTTAGTACACAAACAGAAGCTAAATGTACCTGCTTAAACTGAACCATGACATCTTTAGATAGTTCCATGTCCTTGAACATGCCCTCCAGTTTGCTGGTAAAAGCAGCGCCACATTCTGTCACACGAATTAAAGCAAAGATCCCACAATTACAAAAGAAGCACAGAACAAGCAATAAAGGTTTAACCTGAGACAGCTGGGCCAGATTTGCCAGGGTCCAGCACACCCTCAACTAGGTACATGTTTTAAGGATTTTGCTCCTCCGTAGGTACATTAAATGAACCAGTCACATATCCAAGAGATCAGCCCAATAGTTCTCACTGGGCACAGTGAAAGCTGTGATATGTTCAGCTATTACTTAAAAACTGGCTTGTCACTTCTTAAAGCATGAGAAAATAAGGATTCAAATTTACATGCCGAAAAGTAATAAAAATTTAACACATCTGAAGACGCCTACCATGTTTAAGCTTTGACAACATGGACTTCTCAGCATCTACTGATGCACTTTTCCCGACCAGCAGTCTTTTGGCCAAGTCTTTCTTATAAAACGCCTCGAACACATCTTTACCTGTACAGAAATTGAAACAAAAATAAAATAAAAATGAAATCATACATTCTATTTACACGATTGCACTTCAGGTTTGTGACACAAGCCTTTCTCATGACGTGCTGATCAGCAGAACAATATTCAGTATGCAACAGCAAAGAAAAACACGTAGACATCTTGTTCTTTTTATATTTGAATTATTTTCTTAACATATTTTGCAAAATTTTTTACTTCTTTGCCTTTTTTCTTTTTTTCCCCCCACCAGGAACATGGGCTGCCTTGTATTTCGGATTTGCACCAGCTGCAAGTCACAGGAAATTATTCTGGTGTCCAGAAGAACATTCTCCTTCTAGTGGTCTGATTTATTAAAATAAGAAAAAGTGTTCCTATGTATTAAAGAAACAATCTTTAAAAGCCTAAGGTGAAGAAAAAGTGACAGAAGTCTTCTCCCTTGGTTTGCCAATAGTCTTTTGAAACAAAGAAGTCATACAGGCACCCACAAACTTTCACACCTCAAACCAGAGCTTCCGCAAATCTTCTCTATTGATAGTGCAAAGATACCAGAAAGTTTTTTCACTTTTAAGAGGAAGAAATTCACTGCAACTAAGGGCACTCTTTGCACTGCCTACAGTAGCCCCTCCTAATTCCCTGCAAACACCTTCCAATGCATATGTAGCAGTATCTCTGATACTCTCCCACCCTTCCCCCGGTAAAGTGCCATTTCAAAATACTATCAAAAAGTCCAATGCCCAGCAACTAACTATTAATTATCATCTGCCCTTAAAAGGACTCTTGCACACTAGGTATCTCAAAACAAATTTACATTTTTATCTCAGTACTACAAAAAATATTAAGAGAAAAAGAGCTGGTCACAGTTTCACATTAACAGAAATTAATCTCCTAAACTGAGAAGTGGCCAGTGACACTGTCTTCATTCACTACCTCCATCTAATACCCTCTGCATTTGACAAAAATCATTATGCAAATGATATTACTTTATGACTGGTTCCTTGTCTGCTTTCCCATTATACTGTACTCGTTTTGGATTTTATGAGGAAAGAACCCCACGGATCTCAGAACAAACTAATACAGAACTGGGTAGTTCCTGCTCATTCCACCCCAGGCCAGCACACACATCCCACTTCCCTCAAAATAGGTGACCACCCATCTCTACTGGGCTCAACCATGTATTTTTTGCTGATATCCAACCAGGCAAATTCTTCTAACACATTTCAAGGCTTTTACTCAGACAGGGACATACTTAGGGAAGTGCATTTTAAAGACAGTAAAACATAGAAATAGCTTTTTTCTCTCATTATTCTGAGCCCTCCTCTGTGTTCATTCTCAGCCACAATGAGAAGAGACAAGTCACTCATTGCATTTTCATGTACTTCACACTTATACTGAGGTGGTCAGGGTGGAGATAATCTGTACTAACCTTTCTGTGTCATAAGAGGAGAGGCTGTGGTAACAGTTATGATTCACTTATGTGAAAGAAACTTGGCCACCAACAGCTCTAACTTAGGTCTCCACTCACAGACTGTAAAAGCTCTGTAAATTGCCAATCTCCATAGCATGAGTTGTCCTCCCTGCTATATTTATTGTTCTCCTTCAGATGCAAGGCAACCTGAATTTAAAACCAAAATCTAACAGAAACTCATGCTAAAAAAGATCTCTTACATTCAGAGGAATACAGTTCTTCATTTTTAATTGCATCAACAGTGAACAGATATTTCTTACCATGAATGAATCTAAATATGATCATGATTTTATCAAGGATTCTTTCCAGCTCTTCATCAGTTGCTTCTTTATTACCAGCTCTTAACTTGGAATCCACATACTTTGCTACAAATAAATAAAACAGTTTAACAGCTTTTTAAAAGAAATCTAAACTAACTTAAGCATCTCTCAATTGAAATATTGATACATGTTAAAATATACGACAAGTGCTAAATTTTCTATTTTCCCTTCTCCCATCTCTATGTTCAGTGGAATGATAGAGCCCTGCTGTACTACTGCCATAATGGAAAAATATCACAAAAAAGAACCGTCCAGGGAAAACAATGAATACAGTATAATCATTAAAATTAATGCATCAGAAATACCCACATTCTATGTTATAGTCATAGCAAGTACATTACTTGTTGAAAGACAACGTTTTGGAAGTGTATGATGCATATGAATGTATTCTATGAGAAACAGAAACAAACAACACAAAGAGGACTATATTTTTATAGACCTTTACCATGTCCCTCATGCTCCTTGGTAGGAGCAACCCAAAATTTAAATAGAAGCAATGCTTTCAAGTTAGTAGCTTCAGAATGCCAGTAATAAGGTTAAGCCATGAGTTTAGCTAAGTATTTATTAAGCCACATTAGTATCCTTATACCATCTTCTGCATAAGAAGGAAACCTTTGCAGGAGCTGAAACACCACAATGCACAAATGACAGCAGCCCGTATCATGGCTTTAACCTGTATCACACCAGGTTGTGCGATTTGTCCTACGTAAAGCTGGTTTTAGGTAGAAGCCACAAAATAAGCTTAATAAAGGCAAAAGAACATACAGAGGAAAAACAACCAACCAAGGAGTGGGATCTTCTCCCAGTGTAAAATGCCACAGCTCCAGTTTTGCTGCAGGCAAAACAGTCAGAACGGCTTTTGCCAGATCAGGGATAAACCCAATAATAGTATTTTTAAAATGTTTTTATTATTTTTCCCCTTAATAAGACCTAGTTCCCCCTTCAAGGTAATACAATTTTTTTCTCTATTAAAACACCTCGCATCTGAAGGCTTCAAAATTGTTCTCCCAACTTCAGCCTTCAAGGTAGATGGGTTGTACTTAGTCCTTTCTGAGAGATCCATAACATCCAAAAAACTCCTCTACTACCACAAATACAAACAGTTCCCTTTTTTTTTTTTTCTTGGCCACAGCTACTCTTTTCCCTAACCGTTTACTCAACTCGTAGCATCAGCATTACGCTCTCTGAGCGGTTGTTAGCACCAGGCACCGTGCAAGAAGCAGAGCAGAGGGACAGCAGAAGTCGGCATGCTCTGTCAGGACGCCGCGCACTCGCCTAACAGCACACCCAAGCTTTTCAAACCCGCAACACTCCCAGGTTAACTTTTGCCTCGCATCCCAAAAACAAGTCTCCTAAAGCAGAATGCAAACTGCATCACTATTGCACTAGCACACTCAGCAGCATTATCTTATCATGCTTTCTATAGATTTTTGAAATATTTTACAGAAAAATATTTGTGTACCTATCAATTCTGCAGGCTTATTTGGTCTCTTGTTGATAAATGTTTCAAAGGACTCCTTCATCAAGTTTATAAATTTTTCATTTTTCTGAAAGCACACTTCTATGATATGGTCCACTTTATCCTTAAAATCTAGTAGCTCTTGCACCATATCCTTGTCTTTTTCAGGATTAACCACTATTGTTGTCCCAAAGTTCTGTAAAACAAACACTTTTGATAATAAAGTACTTTAGAGTGCTAGCTATGCCCCCAACAGACACATTTACCCTTATAAAATTTATCATTAGAAAGAATAATTTTTTTTTTACAGAGCTCCTTATGTGACTTCAAGTTTTCAAAAAATGAGATGCATTGAAATTTAAAATAAAAACCCAGACACACATTAATGGATTTCAAACATTAATGTTTGATTTAAAGATTATATACATTTAAGACAAAAGCTAAAAAACAAAAAAAACCCACAACAAAAAACCACATTAGACATGACTGTATGAGGTGCAAATTTACAGTTAGATACAGAACTACATGATTCATGTAAAAGAAATTATATGGAAACTGCCTCAGAAATTTTAAGTGTAATGGAAAACTTTAGAGTATTTAGGAAAATAGTGCAGAGAGCTCCCTTGATGGAACAGGTGGTAAAAATTCAACCGCTGCTCATCACTCCAAGATTTCTCTTTCAGCAAGGGCTTTAAAGGCAAAAAAGTCCTAGCTAACTTTCAATAAAACAAAACCTTCCCATTCACAAGAAGCAGCCACAGACTTTCTTTTCTTGTTCCTACATTTATTATCTTAAAGACACAATATCATTTGTCTAGTGAACCAAAATATCCTGCAAGGGAGGATTTTAACCTATCAGACAATTTACAATTGCTTTGTAACACTGATGAGCACTCTAGACAGAATGACCAGTTTTCCAAGGTGAGAAAGAGGAACAACTGCACAGTAACAGCAGAACAGTATTCAATCGGTCTATTTTCATAACTGAAGTATGTTAGCCACAACAACAGTCAAAGAAAGATGGGAAAATCTCTCCCAAACCTCAGCATTTCCACTTCAGTATCTACTTATCCACCGTGGTCTTTCATTGAGATCTTTCTCAAGTAACATTTCAGAGTGAAGCAAGACAAACACAAGGCTGCCCAGGGTCCTTAGATTCAATATGTGTATCACAGAATCATGGAATGGTTTGGGTTGGAAGGGACACCTGAAGATCATCTAGTCCACCATACCTTACACTTGGCACAATTTCCCCTTTATTAACGCAGCATCTGGAGATCTCACAGTCTCTATCAGCTATGTTCATAAATTGCAGGGCATTCCCCCCATTCTGCAGATGGCAAACTGAGACTCAAAAAGCTAAGTGGCACCTCTGAAGTCATAAAAAGGTGACTACAGCAGAGCACAGACTTTCACCCCAGTAATTTGGCATGCTCTCTGTGCTTTTTCTTACACTGGCTCACAAGGTAAAAGTTAAGTTCTTGAAGCCTCACTTTAATGCATTCTGTCATACAGAATGTTTGAAAGGAGGACATTTACTGACACTATAGAAAATGCTTTCTGGCTTGTTGAGTCTGTAAAAAAGATTCTTAAAAACAAAGCCATAAAGGTCTGATTCTGTGAGACATAAGGTATGATAAGCCAACTCAACAACTTGCTACTGTGAAAGGAGAGGTTTTGGTCCTCTTTCTCTTATTATCCTACCTGTCTCGAACTCTTGCTTCTTTCCTTAGGCCAGCACCAGGACTTTCTGTGAGCCTCTTTAGCTACTAAACCTGGCATAAAACTGACCTTGCTCAGGTACCGTGTTAAAACAAGATCACAAAAGAGTCTATGGAGTGGCAGGCAGCACAACGGTTAAGTAAGCAGCGTGATCTGGGAGCAAGGAAGAAGAAAGATTATTCCTTCTCAGCCCATGGCAAGGTGTACAATGGCCCAGCTGCCCATGGATCCATGGACTGCACACTGGATGACTGGAGAATGGATGACACCTTGTGGAACAAACTCCACCTCGATTCTGGGGGCGGAGGGGAGACTATGTCCCACTTCTGTGGGCTGCACACTGGTGCATCATGCAGAACTCCAGACATGGGTGTGCAGGAAAGGCACCTCTGAAATGAACTGATGTTGTCCACTTAGTCCTGAAGGCTGATGAACACATGGGCAATTCAGGAGAGAACCACCACATCAGGCATTATCAACTCCAGAGAGAAATACCTTCTGTGAAGTTTTCCTGCTTTGATCTTGCAAGAGCACTAGAGTGCAAGTTCTCTGGGGCAGCACACGCAAAACAAACCTGAAGCATCTAAATATGACTTTTGACGATGGATTATTTTCGAGAGGAGTACTCCATTCAAAATAGGTTAAACATTTATCAGCATTGCTATAGGCTGGCTACATCTAGCTCTGCTAACCTGCAGTAGAACAGCTACATTCTGATGTTCCACTGATTTTCCAGATATGTAAACAGTTGAGTGTATTTGTAGCAAAACACAACACATAGTACAATCCAGCATACTCTGAACACATGTGCAGCTCTATTTAAAAGCAAAGCAAACCAAAGTAACTTCTTCTAGAACATTCAAACCTGTAAGGAAAGCAATTTCCAAGTAGAAATTTAAAACCAAAACTTAGGTGTCGATGTTTCTCATCATATGACTGTTATTGTCTGGGGTGGGGGAAGCATTAACATCCCTCCCCACATTTGTTTAAAACAGAATTTCGATGCATGCACCTACATGTTATTCTTGGTTTTGATAGAAGAAATATGTAACAGCACAAATTCTGACATCAGTAAGAGATCTTTGAAATACCTTGATGTATTCACTCCAATGTTGCAAAAGGATCTGCTGCCCACCTTTTACCCGGCTGAACAGCTGGTATGTTTGGGTCAAATCTGATATTCTATTTTCATCAAGCAGGTTATCAAGTCCTAAAAAAATAAAATTAGAAGAAAGAGAAAATTTTAATACAGTTGAATACATACAACTAGAAATATATTAGAAAAATCTCTATGAAATACATCAAAAGACAAGACCCTCCAGTGTGCTTAAAAAGTATGAACTTTTTAAGACTAAATTTCTGAAAGCAAGTGATACACTCAGGGTTTACACGCCGACTTGTTTAAACTGGCTGAAATGATTGATGGTGTAGTATTTTAAGACTATTTCAAATGAAGTACTTTCCCAACAAGGTGTTGACTGCAAGCCTTTTGCAGAATGTTTATGAACAGTGCTTGATTTGAAGAGTACCGTTTTATCAGGAGATCTCAAAGAATCTCTACAGAATGTCAGAAAACAGTAAGCTAAGTAAACTGCTCCAAATGTAAAGATAAATACTTCGCAAGATTTTTTCTGTGGAGCATGGTGAGCCATGTTTTTAGATTAAAAATGTGCTATGAATCGTCTACACTCATACTGATGGAATAACACAAGACTGCAAATTCCTTCCAAGTGACTTTTGCCTTTATCAATTCACCCTACATGAGACTAGGACTTGGAGTAATGAATGGAGAAGCAAAGCTCAGGGCACAACATGAAACATAACAACTACATACACATTTTCACATTTGAGAGTATGATGTAGTCCCAGTGTAATCAGAGATACATTGTCTGGTGTTGGTGACAGACGCTTTAGTAATAAGGGAGGGTAGCATCACAGATTTATGGCATTTTTTTAAAATCCAGAAAGCTTGATTTTACACAGGTTGGCAATTCACATCATCAGTGTAGTTGACATTGTACAACTGTCCAACTTGACAAAATGTACTTAATTAACTCCAATTTTAAAATGGTATTTGATTACAAAGGATTTTCAATCACTACGAAATTATCCCATTTTCTACTATATTCTTCATCTTAAAAATACTTTCACTGTATGTTATAACTTACATGTTCAGAAAGGCAACCAATGTTCAAGAATGATGTCAGGTAAATTTTTGCTCACATTGAGATACCAAAGGAATGGGCATACTTTGAAAGTATACAGGAAGACAGATTACAAAGGCTTGAATGCATGTGACTGACGTTCTTTTGGCATTGAACAGGAAATTAAGAAACACCCATTCCACCATGTCCAAGCATCACTTCCTATTAATTTAAAGACACTAATACATTAACTGCATTATCATAAAATTGATGATAAAATTTAACCTTCCTTCTTCCTCTGGCATACAAACTGTACGATTCAACTAAATATTTTGTCACATACTTGACAACTGAAAAAGACATACAGGAAAGTCCTCTGACACAGAGCTTCACACAACTTCCATAGAACACTGACACAGCCTTGGAAAATTTTATTATATTCACAATAAAAAAAACCTCACCAATACCTAGCCAATGGCAGTTGTAATAATACAAGGAAAAAAAGTATCTTATACATACCCTGCATTTGTAATGTTTTTTTTCCCCCCTGTATCAAACTGACTACATCACATTATAAATAAATGTGTCACTGGAAGAGTTACTTAAAAATAATACTTGAATTAAAAAGTAAGCAAAACTGACATTTATCTAGAAAAAATTAATTATTGTTACTTTCTGTTTATGATAAGCTTAATAGCTAAGATGGAGTGACCACGCTTATTTTTATAAATGTATTGAAAACAGTGAAATAACCTATTTCCAGAATAGTTCAGAGAAAACTGTGAGCATGTCTATCTTTAAAGGGTGAGAAGAAAGAAGTGAAAGGGGTATGCATAACAACCCAAAAGTATTAACAAACATGGATGTGATAGAGCTCAAAGATACCAAACTACTACAGACATCTGTTTCGCAGCAGTAAAGGAAACAAAGATGTAAGAACAATTTGCTAGAAGATCCAAAACCTAAAATATGGCTACTGCAAGAGAAGGAAAGGATCATTTAAAGTATTAAGACATCAGGGAATATTGACCAAACCCAGAAATTCAGTGAAAAAGAGAAGAATTCAAAGTTAAGGGGAATAAAGAAATGGTGACTTAAAGACACTAAAGTCTTAATAAGGACTTTGTAAGAAGACAGCATCTCATATCTGAAATTGCCAGACAAATGATAAAATACAGGCAAAAGCACATGAAAGTGCATTGCCTCGGAATGTTGTCCGTTCCAATAACTCATGATTCTCAAACTACACAGTCACAAGAATATGTGAAGCTATTGCACTTGAGCTGTGTGATTATCACATAAAAGAAGCTATGACAGTAACTGCAGTTCCAATCTGGACGTTTACATAATTCTAAATAATCAGCAGTTCCAAAGGTTTAATTCCCAAGTCCAGTGCTGCAAGTCAAAGGAATTATATTTTAGTATTTGCTTCCCCGTACACATTCCCCATATACTTGTCACAATGGGTATAACAGTATTACAGGGTTGGCTTTCTGAATTTGTGGCAGTTTTTTCCATGGCTAATATACATCCTTAAATAAAATCTGTGGAATCTATAGTTATTGCACAGTACGAGAATCTGATTCTTATTGGAGATTACATTAATTTTAAAAAAATACCTTTTTGCAAAATAGCTGATAGGTGTTCTCCTAGTAGCTGTTTCTCCACACAAGCAATCAGTGGTTTCCTAAATAAGGCAAGAAAAGTGTATTAGAAGTACTAGTAGCCTCTTGTCACAGTGTATTTGTGAATAACTTACCTTATCATAAAAAAAAAATCAACAATTTTCTACTTAAAACAGAGGCCACAAATTAAGAAAAAATGTCACATGTGATACAAGTCAAGAAAGACAACAATAAACCATGTATGTAATTAAGAAAGAAATTCAGTTTTGAATATTAAAAGCGGGTTCTTACACAGTAGAAGAGGGACGCTTAGATACCAAAAATCAGTACAAAAAAGTTTTGGAAAAGAAAAAAATTGACATTTTCTTGGAAACAAACAAACCAACACACAAAACACAATCCTTCAAGGGTTTGAACTCCAAAACAACATAATACATGCTGGTGATGTTCAAAACTCAAAACTTTTCATCCTTATGTATTATGCACCTACATAAGCATAAATTGAGCTAGAACCACAAAACTCAAGTTTGCAAAACATTTTACATTTGTCCTCGAATTTCTCCTACTTTTTACTATTACTGAAAAATTTGTTTGATACATTCACTTTAGACAGGATTGAAAAATAATGGAAAGTTTTCCTTTCCATCTCTATATAGCCTAGAAGAAGAAAGAAACTTGAAGTGCAAAGGGAGAACTAATTCCAACATTTAAACTCTTTCCATTGTTTACCATATGACAACAAAAGACCAACCACTTCCTTCTGCATTAAATTTTATAAAACTTGTTCTCAGACCCTTAATTTAGGTTTTCTGGAAGAGAGGTGCTCGACTCAGATTGATGGAAGCCATTTATGTAGCAGCATCCACTTTATGTCCCTGCCTCTGCTAAAACACCATCCTTCCCGAAACACCCCACCAGTGATTTGCCTGACCTTCCATACAATATATAGTTTTAGTCCTTTCATCTCAAAAGACTAAATTAGAATTTGGAAAGGTTCAGAGAAGGGAAGAGGGATGATCAAAATACGCAGCAGCAGCTACAAGAAAAACAACTGCATGTGTTAGGGCTCTTCTTTCCGGGAAAGAGATGATTTAGCAAGGACACAGTGCATTGACAGGCAGGGAAAAGGTGGAACTGACTGATCACTCTCTCTTCCAATGCAAGAGCTGGAGTCATCAGTGATGGTGCTGGGAACCAGAGTTAAACAAAAGGAGGTGACTTATCATGTGGTGGCTAGTGCACTGGTGGAACGCTTAGCCAAAGGATGGCACAGATGGAAAAGCTGATGTGAATCCCAGTGAGACAGTGCAAGTATTTGAAAGAGATCCATTGAATAATGCCAAACAGACAAACCACATCAGGTTCAGAAAATACCCTGTGCTGAAAACAGGCAGATACTAGGCACAGTATCAGGGCATCACATATACTTACTCTATTCTTTCCCTTCAGTGGTCATAAGCAAACACGAAGTATCAATTAGACAGACCATTTTTATGGTCCCTTCCCTATTCCCTGAAACTTCCAACTACTGCTATCTACAGCTTTTGACTGCCTCCAACAGTAGAAGGAGTTACAGTGGTAAAAAATACCATCCTTTGCCCCAGAAGACCTATTCTGACTAGAGGGGAAGTAAGGATAATTGGTCTGCTTGAGACTGAGAAGCAAAGCACCATTGCCTCACCAGCAGACAGACAGAATGAGTATTTATCTTGACTGCTAGCTGATGAATAAGCCTGAAGGTACCTTCTGTATGGCCTCAAAGTCATCTACCTCAGTCATCTACTGACCAACCAGGAAACATGCTTATTCTGGTCAGCTGTCCACAAAGAGGCATGGACCAATAGGCTGAGAAAATCACTCTATGGGCTGCAACCACACACTCCCCATGTGTTGCATAAATTCAGTTTGAAATATTTTGAATGGTGTTTCCCACAATGATTTTGTACTGGAAGGATCTTTTCCATCTCAAGATCAAATCTAGTAACTAAATTTAACATCCTTTCTGCTCTTTTCATGCACACCTAGAGAGACAGTATGACCTGAGGACAACTCAAGGGCACCAATTTTAAGAGCCTCTGTTTCTTAATGCAACGAAAGGAAATCAGTGCAAAGCCTTCTAAAAGTAGGTTTCTAAGCTTTTAACTAAGGACTAGATTCAAAGCAAGGACTTGATGTACATCTAGATACACTAAAAATATAATGATATCAACCTATTTTTTCACTTAACTAGTAAATGAATATATTTATATGCTTTAACTTTATACATCGAAATAGTTCCATATATTTTAATGTGACCGATTTTCCCTGAAAAAGATAGTCACCCTGAATCAGCATTTACAGAAAAGAAATTCAAGTTCAAGTATGTACCACAGCACGCAAGGCACACACAAGCATGTATATGTATGTATGTATAAAACATGGCTGAAGAAAATAGTAAGTTTAAAAGATAATTTTTGTTCAGAGTTGTCCTTTAAACACACAATGAAATGCCAATACATAATCTAGAAAATTAAAAAAAAAATAAAATGTTATGTTCTTTATTAAAAAAAAGAAAAATGCAACAGCTGACTGCAGGACAAATTATATGTGTACTTATTGCATGTCACTGACCCTGCAGTACTTCCTGAATGCACATTCTTACCCAAGTAAAACACACACTATTACTGAACATCAGAGTGAAAAAAGGACAGGCTACCTTGCACAATACACTGGCACCAGCTGCACCAAAGCTGATGTACTATCAATTCACATCCTGGACTGCTCATGAATGATGTTTGTGGCCTGTATCCTTGCCATAATTTAACATTTTTTTTTTCCTTTTTTTGGCCTAATGAATCTTTTTTTTCCTTAAGTGATTTGTAGTTAATTTTATTATGAGCACATAAATAGTTCAAATCAGCTACAACTTTGATAATGCAAATTTGAGTTATTGTATAATGTTTTGTTAACTTCAGTTTATACCAATACATCTTTCTGGACAAATTTCTCCCCTCTTACTCAGAGTATATTCTAATTTTAAAGAAATCACTTTTGAGAAAAATTAAGTCTTAAAAAGCCCATGCTGTATCACAAGAGCTGTCAACACGATATTTATCTGTAAGATAATATAGAAATAATCTCTGTGTCTCTACAACCACAGATAAACACACTGGTTTATGATAGATGCTTGACTTATGCTAAGAGTGACAAAATTTGTACTCACTGTGTGCTATGGTCTAAATATGTTATTACTCTGTCTCCTTCTTCTTCCAAACGTTTATTAACATGGTGAAGATATTCTGGGACCTAGTGAGACAAGAGAATGCCAAGTTCCACTTAAAAAGTATGAAAGGCAGATAATCTGGTTCCATTACAATTATTTTAAATTACAAATTTAAAGAGATTACAAATTGGAAAAGACTACTCCACCAGAATGTTGTTACACACTACATAATCTATATTTTTATTAAACAATGTTACTTCATATTAAAAGTATTATAACCACACCTGACCAAAAGGAACAGAAAAAGATAAATCTGAAAATTTTTCAGAGGAAGTTAATTTTTTCCTCAAAACCATACTGTGTTAGGCTAGCCCTTAAAATATCATGGAGCACATTTTCAGTTGGTGTGAACCATATAGTTCTATTATTTCAGTGGTTGTTTCTCCAGTGGAGTATCTGTCCCTATGGCGAATTGGCACATTTATCACATGTTATGACACAGGTATGAAACCCAGGCTTCAAATGATCAAAACAGTTATGCATACGTGCATATACGTACATGTATGCACTAACATACACATGCATGTACATATGCAAGTACATGCGTAACATATATGCATTATGGGCATATGCATAAACATGTACATATATACACTGTGTAAGTTAGGGCCTTACTCCTTTTGTGTTTTTCCACAGCTTTCTACTAGGCGTATAAAGGCAGCAAGACTCTCCGTTTCAAAACCTCTGTCGAAGCATGTCACCTCTGGTCCCAGCGGAATGCCAGGGAATGAGGTGAACGGAGCAGGATTAGACACAAGGATTCACCTCAGTGCAACGTAAACAGGTGTCCTCAAAATGTCTGTAGTGACTCGGTGTTAAAATGGAGTTAATAGTCTTCTGTATTTTAGACCACCAAGAAACACGCTTTTTGATACACATTTTCAGAGATAACCCCATTTGCAGGCTGCCCACTGCAGAGCATAATTTTATCTCAAAGAGGATAGAAAACAAAAATGTATTAAGTCTATTTAACTAATAAGGAAAAGAAACAAAACAGCAAGATAAATGCAACAGAACAGTAAAAAAAGTGAACTGTTTACTTAGGTATTAACCACATAGTAAAATGATGCCAGTGGATATTTTACAGCTCTTGGGCAAAAGTAGTATTGATGGCACACCTTTAAGCTTTATGCGGAAATGACCTTCTGGTAGTGTGACGTCAGCTACACAAAATGTCACTGAGTTTCTCCACCCTTAATTAATTTCAAGCACCAAGGCAATCTGGAGTCTGCTCTTCCCTTTGATACAATACTGTGGTCCACATCAAAACAGGTGAATGTGTACATGTGTGCCTGGGTACCAGTGAATTTCATTGAACATTAATACACCACGGCACTACCAGAAGTTCTCATGTAAGCCCATAGCAGATAAGAATAACATAAAACCAATCATCTACAGCATGCACCTACCTCTCTTTCTTGCATTAATCTTTGGCCTTCTGCAGCATACAAGCAATTTGTCTCTTCCAGAAACCTCTGTTCAAATGATTCCTTGTAAACCTGCTCAAGAAATTAATGTAGTTACTTACATTAAGCTGTCAGTAAAGGTAGCATATTTTGGTTGTCAGGCATAGAGGGAAAGTAAAATCTCAAGAACTCACAGAGTTATAAAAGTGTCAGAAAAACATTACATTAACACAGAATTTCTCTGCCCACTGGTTTTAGAAAGACTGAGATCAAATCTGACTTCCTGGTGCAGCTATAGCACATTTCAGTCATCAGTACTCAAATTGTCTAAATTGACTGGCTTCTGTTTAGGGCACCCAGTCCAACACCAGTACCCAACATCACATCACAGCAATGACATCCAACCCACCTGAGCTCAAGACTCCCACTAATGTTTCTGTGGCAAAAAAAGACACAAAAATCTTGCGACTCGTGAAACATTGGCACAAAACAGGCAATTCCCATCAGTAAAATAATAACATGCTCAGTAACTCATCTTCCTATCTGCCAGGTTTATCTCAGTGGCCCAGGAAAAAATTAATTATACCAAATAAGGTGAACTCTCTTTCTCCAGGGAAGGAATAAGGTGTGTAAAAAAGGGCACCAACAACAATCACAGACATCAAAAAATTTCTGCGTAATGATTAACAGTTTAGTATAGAAAGGAGATAAGTCAGAACAACTATATAAAACAGTTAAATCAGTTTGAAGAAGGTAGCTAGGGAATAATGTGTAAACAGAGAGACAGTTAGTGAAAAGAAAAAAGAAGAGATTCCTTGAGTGTGGTGGAAGAAGAAAACATTTCTTCCAAAACATATAGCAAAGCTGTAAAACTCATTACATTCTGACCATTTTTTTCTCTTAAAGACTTTTAAAAGCTTGATTTTTTTTTTAATGCAAACTTAAATATGAAACCTCTGGCTTGACAAGCATTCAAAGCATAATAGTTCACTAATTCAGCATCACAAGTAGACATCAACACATTTGCTTCCGTCTTCTCTTTACACTAGCTCCACGTTCAACAGAAAGAAATACTAGATTTCATTTCTTAACTTGCCTTCCTTCAGGATAACTGGAAAAACAGTAACATAACTGTATATGGAACTACCTTCTGCATAAAACGTGTAAAGCACTACAATAGGAAACAGCTATAAAATAGGATTTATGCAAGCAGGAATCAACTTTCAGCAGCTGAGCCTCAATTGCATAATAGCCTAAAAATCAGGAATGAGTAGAAGATTAATCATTTTCAAATGAAATATAAGATTTGCTCAATTAATTAATCTTCCTCCTGAAGCTAACTTCTGTTGAAAGAGGCAGAAGTAGAGATCCTGGTGTATAATTACAGGATTATGAGCACATCTCTATCTGAATGAAGTGACAGATGCTATAGAAGAGCAGATTAGAGTAGGTTAGTTTCCCTAGTGAAAAAAGAAAACTACACTTTTGAGCCAATGAAGGAGAAGGCAGACTTACATCCAATTCTGTAAGAAGGATCCAATAAAGGGGAATGTTTATCTTTAGTTAGCGGAGTACTTTGCTAAAATAAACGTTAAAAAGTCAACACCTAGAAAAAGCTGATGCAGTTAGAGAAACCCAGCAAACAACAATGGGAAAAAAAGTGGGAAAAAGCACACAAATCAGATCCGCACCTCCAGGTTATGTGATCTGAAAAATCATTGACAGAAGTTTGCCTTCCCTCTTGAACAGAATTTTTTCTGGTACACTAGAGAAAGTTACAGATGCAAGTCAGGAGGGTTAACTTGAAAGGCAGAAGAGCAGGTGCCTGACCGAAAAGGACTGTTTTATGCAGTCTTCCTCCTCAAACTCTTTTTTTAAACCTTCAGACAGTTTCGTAACACTGTACACCACTTGGGAACGCAGCAACCTTAACAGTTTTTAAGAATGAAAGACAAGCTCCTAAGTTTTATTGCACATCACACAAGACCGCAATGTCAACTAGAGGACAACCTACGCCAAAGTCAGAAGGCATAGCATTTTTTAGTCTATTTAGTTACTTAGTATCTATGCTAAGTTCCAGTAAACTTCAGATTTACCTTATCTATTTGAAAACCTTGGCCTTAACTTTGCATCCCATTCTATCCTTGGCATCTCCGCTAAGAAGTTGCCAATACACTGATGTTTTTGTGATACTGAGCCAGGATCTGGACTCCAAAATGTGACACTTTTTTACAGTGGCAGATGTGGTCTTTTTTTGTTCCTACATTTAATAGGCACTAGGATTAGAAAATGAGCGATTAAGACAGACAAAATATTGCACATAATTAAAAAACTTGCAAATCTATTATTTAAGAGTCTGCAGGCCACTACCTCTGTTAAAGAAAACAGGCAGAGTTAAAAACAGAAAGTAAAAGATTGCACATTGGGTAAAGAAAAGGCAACCTTATCAATCTAATAGCTAGATTTGGAACCACATTTACTAGAAGAATAAAATTATTTCTGTACAAGACACAAATTAGAAAGGTCCAAACTCTGCTTCTAAACATAGGCGTTATTAGTAAAATTTGCTGTTGCTCACCTGCAGATCAGAGAGCATGCTCAACAAACTCCGCAGCAAACTTCTGTCCACAGCTTCACCATTTCGTTCTCGTTCAATCAGCAGGAGGATTCCATCAATAGTCTTGTTTTGAACTTGCTTGTCACTAATGACGTGATTTCTAAATAACTCTAGCCCCATATCCCTGTGTGAATATTGAAAATTAATAAATCACAGTATCACACTGTTGATTCTTTTCAAAAATCTGTATCTCAGTCAGAGAAAAATAAATACATATTAAATATATATAGTGTATATATTATACAGAAAGAGAATATATTAATGGTGTGTACATTCTTTTTGACAATGTCCGTGAAGAAAACTGTAACAACAGTTATCATAAAAATGATGGCCACATGCTAGGAGATGCATACACTTCAGCTGAGAACTGTGACCAGCCTGTCCGTATTTCACAAAATAGACTATAACATTCTCTGTTTATTAAGAAAATTACTATTATAAATATAATAAAAAATCTGAACATATACCTTAACATAAGATTCCCTGGATCAGTCAATCTATATGTAATTTATAAGTTTTGTTCAAAAGCATGAATTCTCTGTATGTTTAGGACCTTACGATCACCTTTATCAGATTCTTGTTTCATTCTAAGAGGATGAGGAATGGTGCCTGTATGCCATGAAGCAGCCAATTATTAAACATTGTCTTGGCCAAGGAAAACAGAGGAATCTCACATAAAACTTGTTACCTTCAATTTCTTCACATGCATCAGGATTTCAATAAAGGGAATTTTCCCAGTATGAGGGAAAAAAGACACAAAGTATGAAGAGACCTCTTCAACAATGTTTAGTAAAAGGGAGCCTGACACAAAAGAGGAGGAAAACTCCTGCAGAGGTCAGAAAGACAGACGTCCACAGGACAAACGAGGGGTGAGAGAAGAATGCTGGGTTCCTCAGACAGCCTGAGGAACTGCCGAGAGTGCAGAAGCCAGCCAGGCAGGGAAAAAGTGCACTCTTACTTTAGTATTTCATCTACATATTTTTTTGCTTTATAGATGGAGTTGGTTTGCTTGGGCAATGATACAAAATGCCCCTCAGGAGGGATGCGTAAAAACAGAATGCCCAAAGATGAGCCCATGGTGTGCTGAAAGCACAGCAGCAGCATCTCAACGCTTTGAGCCACAGGTCTCGACTCTCAAGAGGCTAAGTGCTGGAACATGATCTGCACCTTGTCAGTGTATCTGACTTACTTAAAAAAAAAAAAGAGGAAGAAGTTGAGTGTTGAATTTAGTCAAAACCATGAACATCTGAAGGGTGCTGGGCCTGCAATAAGGTGCAGAAGTAGCAGCCCAAGGAGGTTCCCCACATAGCCAGCCTCACCCAGGCTGTGACAACTACAGCTATACATATGCCTTGACTTTAAAGCGTATGTTCACAGACCTTTTTCTTCTTTTACGCTTACTTTACAATTAATATTCCTGGGGAAGGAGGGAGACACCACATGCATACGCCAACACATGTATTTCCATAAATTAACACAAAATTTGAGAGACCTATTACACAGATCAAATACAATGTGAAAAATTTATTTTCAACCTTTGCAAATGTAATAGCATGTTCAAACTCTAAAGATTCAAGGAATACTTACATGGATACCTACCATATAGAAGGAAGCATTGAATTCTGAAGTACATATGTACGATCCAAAAATAAGAAAATGCTTCTGATCATGATCTGAAAATATATAAAGAAAAAGTTTTTCTCTTCACCACCATGTGGTATTTTCAATTATAAAGCAACTTCTGAAAAACTACATCAGATAGACACGCACCTTAATTACTGATGTATGTATTTTCAACTTTTGCGGTGACTTGTACAGCAAGTATGTAATGTAATGGTATGTAATTTACTGACCTTAATACTATTACTAAGAGGTATTGCCGAGTACAACTGAGACAGTTTTCAAATTCATAACCATTAACTAAATAATTTTATTAGGCTGTTAGGAGTTTTACTGCTACTGAGATACATAAGCTATTCAAGCAGTACCACCAAGACATTCAGTGAACACCCTGAAATAGCACGCTGCCATGGTTTTTGCTTTTTTAAAAAAAAAAGCTTTAAGCAGAGACAGTAATAAGCTGTGCAACAAATCTTTTCATAATAGAAGTTAGCTGCCAAAATTCTTGAGAAAAAGAGAGATACATTAATTCTAACAGGAGAAGAAAGGTATAAAAATACATATTTTTTTAATTTAAAAAGTGGGAAAAGGAGGTGGGGTTTTTAGCTTATTACTCTTTCATATTCAAAATCCATTTTTAACTTTGCTCATAAAAAAGCTGCCCAGCATTCAGTTTAGGATTAGCGTAACTCAGAATGTCAGTAACTCAGTCCCAGGCCAGCTACAGAGATTTCTATCCCCAGCTGTCCACCTACTCCTCCCCTAAAAGATTTCATTGCTTCTGAAGCAATTCTCAAGCTGACATAGTTCCTGGCCAAGCATATTAAAATAAAACATCAGCAAGGCTGATTTTTTTTCTTAAATACCACAAGTGCTAACTCAGTACATGGGCAATAAAGCCACTTGCCACAGGTTGTTGCTTGGGGTGGTGGGAGAACTCCAAAGTAATTGAAGTGAACAGCGTCCATAGTAAAAGCCTTTTTATAAAAACACAGGTCCAGTTTAATTACATTTTCAAGGCAATAAAATTCAACTCTATTTTCTTCAGACTGTTGAATTGTTTTGAATAGTTACCATAACGCTTTCCAATTTTATTTCAGATAAAAATCACATACTTCTGCCCATCCCCCACAAGGGAGGGGAGAGGGGTGAATTCGAAGACTGAAAATAGAAATTCGACCACTTTGGGCATCTGTAGCCAAAGCTAAGTGCCAATGCAATGAAAACTCATTGTAAAATGCTGGTTTAGAATTATAATGATGCATTATAATAGTGGGCATGGTGGTGTTGGGTTAATGGTTGGGCTTGATGATCTTGAAGGTCTTTTCCAACCTCAGTGATTCTTAAAGGGACAATTTACACAGAGTGTCTTTGAGATAGGGTTTTTTCCGTAACATAATTCATCATGGAGGTAGGAGACAGGAAGGGCAGAAAGAGAGACTTTCAGTTCTTTGTCTTCCTGTTTCTTAGCCCTATAGTCGGGATAATCATCTCTGCTTTGCAAAAAAACAACAACAACAAAAGTCACAAATTAACCTAGCTCTTGGAGCTATCTAAAAGCAAAGATTGTGGATTCTCCAGTTACTTAAAATTACAAACAACAAACAATTTGAGCATAGCCTGGTTAGTTTTGCTTTCCACCTGTAGAAAACAGGTGTCAATATACTTCTGAGTGATATTCCAACTTCACATGAAACCTATGAAAGTCAGAGTCAACACAACAGAAGTTTTCAACAACAAAACCACCCCCAGCTAGCACAGGGGAAAGAGAAAAGCAATGCTGAAACTTGGAGGAGGTGCAACGCAGTCTGAAGTTAAAATCATGACAAACTCCTTTTTGCCAGATTTCACACGTCAAGGATATGTATTCTGAACAAACATTCAACTTACCATTTGTCTGCAGTGATCTTGCCAGCATTTATTTATCTTCTTTAAAAATAAAAGACTATCCAGAGAATCTGTACAGCTCCTATTAAGGAAAACTAGCTTGCCAGTATCTTTTGAGGCCAGATCCTGGAGATGATCTTTACCAGCCATTAAGCAAAGCTGCTCCATGGATATTCTGATGTTACTGGGATTGCCCAGGGATAAACGGTTAATTACAGAGCTTCTACCCAGCCGAGGGGCTGGCAGTGCTCCAAAAGGCTTCCCTGTGTTTTCAAGGAATAGCACTCACTGCTCTTCAATAATACCATCTAGCGGCTGTACTGCGTAACTTTGATAAACAAGAAATCCTACCAGTGCCAAAAACAACCCTGTCACCAACCAAGGTGAGGTGGATAGAAAGGTTTATTTTGTTTGTTTAATGAGTTTACACCGTGCACAACAGGAGTGACCCTAATCTCTCAAAAGCAGTTACTGTTCTAATTAATCCTCAACAAATCCAAATACCACTCTTTTCATATACATCTCCAGGTCTCCCTAAGCAAACTATATAGTTTTCTCCATTAAACAACAAATCCAATTGTTATTCATGCTTTCAGAATTCTAACGTATCCAATGTATCCTGAGGAAATCCAAATGTGGCTTTACCTTCCTTTCCTGCACAGTATCACCTCCAACTCGCCCTGGCCAAAGCTGATTAATCTGATCTCATGTCCTTGGGATATAAAGTGGTATACCTGTAAAATATAAAATTTTCAACTCTCCAAACCACCAGTTCTAGCCGGGGGCGGGCTGCAGGGAAAGCAAGGTTTTAAAACACTTCTTTGGAAGATCATCTGAAGAGTCAGGGATGCAAAAATTGGTTAACTGTACTGCTTTAAAGCAGTCTATAAGATTTGGTTCTCAGACATCAGTTATGTTTATGAGACTACTGTGCTGACTAATGTGCTTCTTAGTTATATGTGATTTTAAATGCACCAAAGTAAATGTAATTAAAAAATCAGCTGCCATACAAGACGTGAATTCACAGCGCTGATTTATGTACCAGTGTTTCTTATACACTATGTAGAAGCCAGACTCCTTAACTAGGACTCAAAAAACCCAAAACCAAAACAAACTCAAAACCATACTGGGACATAGCTAGATAACAGGGAAGGAAAAAAAAAAAAATTATCTTCTTTATGAGTGCAGGCATCTACCTGGGGAATGCAGTGAACTAAGAAACTGAGTCACAATCCAAAGCACGTTTAAGGCATCCACCTGGAAGGAAGGCCCTTTCTGGGCCCCAGCCCCTTGCTTCTTTCTATTTTAACCTATCATTTTCTGCTAATAAAATACATACAGGGACCTAGGAAACACTGCTAGCACCTAAAGTACTGCAGTATCTGTTCGGTACAGCACTCCTCAGCATCTGCTTGCAAAGACACTCTCCAGGAAAGCAGGGAGAGCCAGGTGGGCATAGGCTATTTATCCTACAGCCTGAGCAAGCGCAACCCCATGGCTATTACACAAAAGACAACTATCACAAAAAGCACGGTCTCAGCATGCAAAGCACAGTGGGATTGAGAAACCAGGGCTGGCTGCACCCAGGTGTCCAGAGAAGATCTACAGGCACTTCTGTGACCAGTTCAGCCAGAAGAAAAGCCTGGGAATCAGAAAACTATGGGGCAATCTACCATAAAGCTTCAGGTTACTGTGTATACCAAGACAGCCAAGTGACCTCCTGAACTTAAAGCTCTCTCCCAGAACCTCCCAAGGTACACATGGGACACCTAAAGAGCTCGCTGAGTGCCTCCGTGACACGTCACTGCTGACCAGTATTTATTTATTAATTATTATATTTAAAAATGTATAATATAATATAATAATTGCTCAAACAGGTGTACTTTATGTTTAAGAATTATTTTATAGAAGACAGTGTCGCTGACAATTACTGCGGTGATTTTTTTAAACTATTGCTACTATAAGCATCACCACTACTCACCTGCCATAAAAATCCATACCTGCTGTTAAATCTCATAGTGCTATTGAAATTTTCTACATTAGGTGTAAAATTTGCATTCCTATTAAAATGATAAGTAAATTGTTATTAGCATGCTACTTACTGGTACACAAAAATTATTCACCCAGATGACTAAAGTTGCTTATGCCTGATTTGAAGATATGTAAGTGGTCAACAAAGAACCTCTTTAACACATTGGCAATTACTGGTGTAATTTTTACAAACTGTCTTAAAAAATAATTATTTAAACTAACCATTCTAACCATTTCTGTGCACGAGAAAAGGATATTCTCTAAATTGAAGTATTTGTGCTTTCACATGATCTTCACAGACTTGTCGCAGCTGTTTGTACAGTGTAGCAGAGACTTTATAAGAACAGAGGTTTTCAACAGCCTAAAAAACCAAAAAAAGATTATGAAGGAGACAAAAAAACCTCAAATTTTTGTGCCTGTGTAATCAAGGCCAACAACAAAGAGAAAAAAAAGAAACAGCATTATCTATCCAAGCTGTGCACAAAAACATCAAAATCAAATTATCCAAACTATGTAGAAAAATTAAGACTTCATGATTCCTTTCTGATTTTAGTCCCTTCTCATACTGCTAGATTTTGTGTACAAACAAGGTCCACCATCACCAGCTGGGTCATATTTTGATGTGCTGTTAAACATTACAAGAATTCGCCCCCACTCCAAATACTGCTCAGCAGTGGAACTCTGCCTGTAGGTCCATTTTGCGCATCCTCCAGCACAAGCACACGTGTACTTTTTGGTGGGGAAACACAATCATACCAAGTAATTTAATTTAATAGCTTTAAGGTAGACATTTCAACCACTCTAAATGGTAAATGAATACGGCTGCTTTCCTGTCATTGTATTAACTTCTTTCTTTCTCAGTATTTTCACTGTTTCACACACTCATGCTAAGGGGAAAAATAATTTAATAAAAAAACCCAAAAAACCCACATTAACCTTTAAATAAAGACTTGAATTGATTTATTGGGACCTCGTGGGATTTACTTGAGTATTTATCCATAGTTGACTAAGATGACCAATTCTGCCCAAAACCAAACATTCTTGTGGTCAGTAAATTAATGTAAATAAAGTTGTTCTGTAGTTGACCTAGACTACGCTGAGACAGCTCTGGCCATCTCTAGAATATGGCTGTTCAGCTATTCAGTAATTACACTGCCTTATACTAACATTTTTTCCTCACAAGAAACTCAATGAGAATGCCAAAGAGAAAATGTAGCCTTGCTTGATACCACTGCCTATATTTAGACTTTGTTCCAGGCACACTTTATTTTAACTTGTGTGCTGTATTTCAATAAATTATTTTATTAATAGACCATAGCATCTGAAATGAATCACAATGAAGACAGCCAAATGTTCTGTGAGAACTGTAAAGTTTACAGTAAGTATTTTTGGCCATTCAGTTCTTCATACAAAATTATCCAAAGGAGTTGGACATGATTTTCAGAACTAAAAATCCCGGTGTCTCTTCCTTTAACTTCACCTCAATTGCCTTTATGCTATGAGGTGATACTGCAGAGAACACTGACCAAGATTTAAAGCACTATTTCGCCTGGGCAACTAAAACAGACCCAAGAATATTTTCTTTTGCTCCAGAGGACCTATGGTGTCACATTTTGTTGGCAAATTTTCAGATAGCATCAGTGAAGTTGGACAAAGTTTCAGTATTTTCCCAGTGCTTGGCCTTTACTCAGTTTTCCCCAAATTTTAGCTTTTTTTGTGTATGTCTTACTTCTTTGTAATATGAAATGTTATGGTGCCTTACAGCATGTAACTTCTTGTCAAAGCATTAGTAATTGTTCTTCACAGTTTTGGTTTAAGACCACCCAACCACAGGGGCTAGCAGGTGCGTGGGCCAAGAGAGAGGCAGGGGGGAAAGCAGGGCTTGCTTCTTTGGGCAACAGTGCTGGCTTAAAGTGTATTTCAAACTCTAGCTGTATCACCTCAGTGTCACCTCCACTAGCTCTTTCTGCTTTTTTTGAGGGAGGGGGGCATGAAATCCAGTCATTTCTTCCTTCTCCACCTTTTGTTCCATTCAGACTTCTTGCTGCTTCTCTTTCTGAAGAAATGTGATTTGACTTTTATTCATCTGGCACACAATTAGTCTGGAAAAAAGCTAAAGTAATCACCACATCTACAAGGATATGAGAAAGACAACACTTTTAGACTCTTCACCTACACATCTCTTGTAAAAGTTCCATTTCAAATCAACCTTTTAATAGCTTGTTTGGAGCAGAGTCTTCTGTTTTAACATTTAGCATGCAAATTATTGCTAGTTCTTGTATTAGTTCCTCTATAGGTTCTAACTTCCTGAATAGTTTGTCTTCCAAAACACAAAGTGAATCTGCTTCCCAGAGATCTTGCCATGGGGTAATGCTAACCTACCTGATGTCATTTTATTTAAATGCACATGAACCATGGCTTCCTCAATTTTGATACAGTATAAAAGAAAGCCAACAAACAGACGAAGCTATCACACAGTGCCCATGTTATGTTTTTCATCTGGTCTTGAAACAGGTAAGTAAAATGACATCTGCAACAAACAGCATTCACACATAATCATTTTGCAGCTAGTTTGTTATGTTTCCTAAGACATAGCCTTTCCTATCCATCCATCCAAATAAAAGTCTGGTCAGGACTCTCATCATTTTTTTTCCTTCACTACTATGCCGTCCTACTCTGTGTCCTCCAGAAGGGCAGTGCTGCCCCATTTCAGTTTATTTAGGACCTTGCTGCAAAGGGAATTTCCTTTTTCCATTATTTTTATCACTCACTCCTCACTCGGCCATTCTTTGCACTGCCCCACTTTCTCTATCCCATCAAGTATAAGCTACTTCTATCAAAATCTGTGCAATCTACCACCAATCCCAGACATCATTTCTATTTTAGTCGCAAAAAATTGGCTGCCACCCTCTCATTGCTCACTAAGTCCCTGCCAAGCACCTTCATGCCTGATCCCATGCTGCCTCTAATGCCTGGAAAGTAGTATCCTTTGGGCTTCCCACAAAGCCTTGTCATTGTTCTTCAGTTTTTCCCGCAGCCACCGTGCCAAATTAAATAAATCAGAAAGTTCAAAGGCAGACGGGTACACCAGCCCGCTCACCGCACTGAACTCTAACAGGCCTCTCACTTCCTCCCATAACGTCCGACGAAGACTCAAACAACAACAACAACAACAAAAGCCCTGATAGTAAGAACTGATGCACACAGAGAAATTTTCCCCTGTGGATGATTCGGCGCTCACCAACAGACAGTTAAAGCGATCTGTAAGTACGGATCAGGTTTCCGACGGATGCTGAATTTCATCTTTTATTCCTCTGCAGGAGAGTAAGTACCTATGTATGCACAGGCACACTGACCGCCGCCACCCACTGTGCAGAAATCTTGCTGATTTGAACTGCTGCCTTATAGATTATTGAACTGCCCTTGCGCAGTTTTTACAAATAAGCAGGCAAACAGAAAGAGCAAGAAGTACAGCTCTCCCTTCATATTTTATCTGAAATCTTTCCTCCTCTTCTGCCAAAACTCGAGTCTGTACCCTGGCGATTTCATAGCCATATTACTATAATCTCATTTCTGAGCCTCTGAAAACAAAGTTAGGTAACACTCATCTGTGGGATTTTTTTTTTAGCTAGGCATGAAAAAGCAGGATTTTTCAAATGCTGAGTTTAAAATCATAAAATGATTTTAAATGTAATTTAAAAGTCTGTAATGTATGTAATTCAAAGTCTGCAAACCTGCAAGTATTAATCAATTACTGTATCACAGTCACGTTATCTATTTAAAAGGAATAAATTCTATCAAGTCAATATGCATTTACATTATCAGCCATTTTAGACCCATATATTATATACCCTAACTAATCAGAGAGACAAGTATAGTCAGCTTTCAAATTCATCCTGATTTTCTTGAGCATGGACCCAATATGGGCTGCTGGCTTTCAACTTAGCGCATCAGTAATTTTTTGTACATGATTACTGTAAAATATTACTACTTCAGTTAAACACCTCAAAGCACATACATTTAAAAGATAGAACTAAACTATATAGAAATGGAGAAAGTAGAAATGGCTCATATTTCCCCTCTTTCACCCTCCCTAGCCCTTGCTCCCATAGTCCAGATGTTCCAGAAATACTTTTTCACTATTTTAATAAAAAAATTAAGATCCTGATTGTTATGCAAATGTAACAGTACTCTGAAACACAGGTAAACCGACAGTTTGTTGCCTGCTCAATCAAGATTGTTTTTTAATTCCCCAAAGGGTATTGATGTTGAAGTCTAGTCATTATTATCTAACAAATTTCAACATTACTATTCACAAGAGACCGCAGCATATACAAAAGAGAAATCATCATAAAAATATGTATCTCCATAGCCCAGTGAGAGCAACATCCCGTTTCCAGCATCTTGGGTAGGCACTGTATTGAAGAGATCGAGACTCAAATCTCAGCCCTGCCCAGGCAGAGCCTTCTGTGTCTCCCAGTATAAACTGCTTTTTCATGGGACCTGATCCTGGTAGCTCTCCAAGGATCTGATATATAAAACTGCAAAATGTACCAGAAACAGAGTATGGAGCAAACAGTTCAGAAAATAACAAGTTTTTAAGAAATCAAAACTAATTATGTTACATGAGTAGCTCTGTGAAAGTCTCAAAGCAGTTAATTTTCCGACTGTCAAGCTGAAAAAAAACCCCTGCGTGCCTTACCTGGTAGAGCTCTTCAAGGTTGTATTTAATAGAAACACTACTCTGTATCGCTCCCACTGCCTCATGAAGTTTTTGCCAGGTGTCCTGAGTGTAATTATCTGGTAATTTAGGTCTTTCTGTGAAGGAAGGTACAGGTAGTTGTAAACCAGCCACCCGACGGCAGTCTCCAGCAATCTTTCTCACCCTGCTTCATTAAGTTTTGCGAAGCCGTGTTGCGCTCGATCCTTTTAAGTTTGGCACCAGGGGAAGGTTACTAACTCCACCCCAGGCCACCAGACCTCTGTACGGTGCGTTTGAGCCCGCAGTCGGCCGGAGCGCGGACCCTACCC